ATTTCCATATTACACTGATACAAAGAGATGTAAACAAGACCAAAAAATGGGCATATTTCCTTATATGCTTCTGATGGCCTAAGAAAAGCTTACAGGTCCTAGATCAACACCATATATTTTACTTATTATTGTTCACTATAAACCATAAACTATCAAGTGATAAAACTTTCAAGCAAAAAAGAATGCCGGATAACACAATTTAACTTATCAATATCTTTTGTCTATTCCTCCATTCAACATACAGTTTTTTGAGTATTTTGGTATGTCTCAGGTTATGGGCTAGTTATCAAAGACACAAATATATGTAAATCGAATGTGTAATTGGAAGAGAGATACAATAAACAAATACAAATTATAAAGCATCCCAATGGAATTCAAGATGATATAATTTAAATTTATTTTCATCTTTAGACGTGGGGAATGTTTAACAATGTGATGAAAAAATGAAGGAAAAGAAAAAAAAACAGCTTGTAGAAGAACAGTTTACGCATAGGGAAGGGATACTGCAGAGACCTTTTGAACTGATTTTAATTCAGTGGAGTAGTGTAGTTGGAGGACAATGCTATATTCTACACATGAACTGACTCATTGAAAGGAAGTCAGAAAATACAATTTTGTCTCCTTTCTGGAATCAAGATGTGGTGGTTAATCTTGGGTCACCTTGATTGGATCTGAAATCAATAAAGAGATACTCCTCTGAGTCTTTGAAGTCATTTAACAGAAGGATAAACAATGGACGTGATACCCCATCCCAACCCAAGAGTCGCTAAGTGCCTTCTGGTGACAGCCTAGATATAAAGAGGTCTAAAGAAAAATAGTAGTGTTTTTGTCTACCCGTCTTTGCTCTTGCCTGATGAATGCTTCTATACTGTTGGTACCACTGCCCCATTCCTTCACTGATATTAGAATCAGCCTCTTTAGGTTTCCAAAGCAACTATAGACAAGTAGCTCTCCAGGAATCCTCTGGCATTTCAGCACCACATTGGAACTGCTGAAACATCCAACCTCATGAATGAAACACTTAGCTTTGTGGTTTTCAGTTTTTTTCCCATGTGCTGGCAACCATTGCTGAACTACCAAACCCATATCCTACAATTCAATCAAACAAATCCTTTCTGTAAGATATATTCATTCTGTCAGTTCTGTTCCTCTGGATAACCCTGACTAATACATAAGGTAAATATAAGGAGAACACTGATCACTGTAATTATTTCTCATACCTACCATTTTGATCTCCCATCTTGTAACGTTAATCTTTATCTGTTTACTTCCAGGCCACAATTACCATAGGTTTTCATCCAGCTCCTTTAGAGGGAGAGACATACTTTCACCTTCCCATTTCTTATTTCTACAATGTGAATGTAATAAGAATCGATTACAAGAAAATCGTTAGAAAAATTAAATTTAACAATGTATTTGAACAAAGCATGATTAATGGATTGGGGGACATGCAGAACTAGAGTAGGTTTACAGAACTTGCCAAGCAGTGTAGGCTGAGGGGTTGAAGAGGCTAAATGCAAAAACAAGTAAATTCCTTGATAGCCTGTAGCTAAGACATTTACATTTGCCTTCTTTGGGAACAAAGTCCCTAGGTGGAGGTGCATGGGCAGTTTATGATTGGCTAAATGTGTTACATTTGGTTATTTACATTGGGCTACAGTTTACTTATGGAGGAACCCAAGTTGGAGAACAGTCCACCAAATTAAACTTTTGAAAAAGCTTATCTAAGTTTAAACAGAGTTTCTCGCCCACGTATGAATGGAAGGTGATTTACTGAAACACGGGCAACTTATCAGTGGCTATACCACTAAATTAAAAGGGGGACTTGTGAAGAATAAGGCTTTCATCAGGACAGGAGGGATGAGAATGGTAATGAAGGAACAGAAAGTGAGAACATTTATTGTCTAAATGTATGAAGTATCAAAATAATAACTAATTAAATAAATAAATTTTTTTGTTTTAAAAAATGTCTGGCATCATCAAGGTTAGAGAAACTTCCAAGAAATATCTGTGCTATGAGACAAAGCCTGGATCATCAAACATCTCACAAACAGAAATCACAATATTTATTATAGTTTTTATGTGCAAAAAAATGTATTCCTACATAGTTTAGGCCACAGCATTATTAACAACAACTACCTAATATGTGCTTATCAGGGTAGAATTAAAGGAATAAAATAGATAATACCTGAGGGAACTTTCAGAAAACTCTACTTACCTAATGATTATAAGTAGCTATAGAGTTTACATAAATATGCCATGGATTCCAGAAAACATATAGGCTGTGCATTTACATACATGAATTCTAACACTCCATGTAAGTATTGTTTAGTTAAGAGTTTCTCTCAAAAGATAGAAATGCAGTCTAGCAACAATGGTAATTTTACATTCAACGGGGTAACGTACAAGACACACTGAGTTCAACATTTGTCTCCAACACACTTTTATAATAAATGGAAGATTCACATAAATGAAACTGAAGCACAGTATATGATTTTTTCTGAATTGAAATTGGTTCAGATTCATCAAAAGGGAGTTCTATTTTCTGGAATTTAGTGTTTGGCATCCTTACTGAAATGCATTTTAAAAATTTTTTATTAATTACCTTTTGTCAGCACATTAAACAGTTCATTTGAATACCATTATTACTGACATAAGCATCACCAGATGGAATTTAGTAATGTCTGAATTACTTTAATATAACCTCAGGAAAAAGATTCAATGTAGCAGATTATTCATGTGTTGATATTCTCTGAAGCTGAATAATAGAGGTTCATTATATTATTACTCTTGTGACGTGTTTGACTTCTTCTACAGAAGAATGTCATTCTGATAAGGATAACAATGTGACTTCAGTCCAGTATTATGTTTTTTACATTATTCCAAGACAGAGGAATACATAATATGACCACTTTATGTTCTAATTCTTTAAACTCATGGACCATCATTTTCTCAAACTTCAGTTTTAATCCTCTTATTTGATTAGCATTTAAAAAGCATGAATTCCACTGGTCTTATAAATTCTGTAAATCAAATATTCCTTGTGAACGTTTGAAAACTTGTACTATTATGACACAGAATCAAACTTTAAAGGATTTTAGACAAACAAAAAGACATTGAGGTCAGGGAGTCAGGCAGTCTTACCCATTACAGTTACCCTATTATTCTTTGAATAGGCACAGGAAAGTGAAATCAAGGCCCTGGATAAGGGTTATGCCTATAGAAGGGTCAAATGTGCAGTGGAGAGTGAAAAGAGTGACTGTGGTCAACAATAGAGGTATGTGGTCTTGGCAAAATTAAAAAGCATTTAAACTGAAGAAGTTCTGTTAAGGAAATGATCTGTTTAGTTCGAGAAAGTCGGAAAACTTAGTGTCCTCCCTCCTTTACTCAGACCACATCCTTTAAAACCTGAGGAATAAATAAGTTACCATTACTACAGCAAAGATGAAGTGAAGGCAATGAAGTTATTTCTAGGCTGGTTTCACAGGGCATAGGCAAGGTTTCCAGATAATTTGAGGGCATTTGAAGCATGAAGTGCAGGATATGTATTCATAATCTTCTTTTCTTCAGGTCTACACAACTACCCAAAATTTCTCTTTTCAATACAATTTACCCGTCAACAGTCCTACCCAGCTGTAAGCTTGTGACCAACGACTGGCCTGACAAGTGATCTTTAATTGTGAAATAGTGACACCTTTATCTTGGGAGTAACCAGAAGCTTGTCTAATTGGACTTAAGGACAGCTCAGTGGGAGGGATTTCATGCCTGGTACTGTAAACCTAGTCAAATACCTGTATCTAGAGAGGTCCTGAACCCTAGAGGAGAAAAAAAATTATTGCCATTTTCATAAACCAATATAATGTCTAACCATATTCTAAATAGTTATCCCTATACTTACAGATAAATATAGCTTTTATAACTCATCAAAGAAGTTTATATTTGAACAGGCAGAAATTATTACAGAGATCCAGAACTTGCAAAAATGCAGAGAATAAGTGACCATGATGTGCCCAGACCCATTTGGTACATCTACATTACACCTTCGACACCTAAGTCTCAGGAAACCTCATGGAAGAGGGAGTGGAAATATTGTAGCCAGAGAACCAGGACACCTGCTGCTAAATTGTGATTTTTTTTAGAAATGACAGGGAAGTTGTACCCATGAACTCACAATAATATGGTTGCTTAAACAAGGCCTGCATAATGCTACATCAGTTGATGTGACAACATTGATGGGAGAAATTTCCCAAAGGCCCCACTTCTATATGAAGTGCTACATCCAATTGATGGCTGCTAAGAGAGGGAGAATCAGTTTCCTCCAAGGATGAGCTTTCTAATAGGTTATCCAATACCAAGTGGTCATCCCTAAAGACATGTATATATGAGCAACTCTAATAGGATTCATATACATATTTAGACATATAACAATTGTATATGTGTGCATATATAATTATATTAAGGAAGAGGTCACCAAATTGAGAGTGAGGGAAAGGGCATGTGGAAGGAGTTGGATCTAGGAGAGGGAGGAATGGAAATAATGTAAATACAATGCTCGTGTATGAAATTCTCAAAAACTGAAATTATTTTATTAAAATCCTTTACTACCAGAAGGCAGAGGCATGAGAATCTCTGTGATTTTGACACCACTCTGTTCTACACAGTACGACCCTGTCTCAAACATAAAAGCAAAGACTTTGTCACACCTTAGAGATGTCTTGCTGCAACAAGTAAAATGTATAATTCAGAATAATTGGTTATTACAAAGGATATTTGAGCTTCATAAAATTCCTGAAGTAGAGAAAAGATTAGCCTGAGCATGGGGCTGAGGTAGTGCAATGGAGAGGAGATGGCTCATCTTTGTCTTTGAGAATTGAATCCACTTCTCCAGTAGTTAAAAAGGGAAAATAGTGCCTCAGGGGACCTTTGTCCATGTGTGAAAAACCACTAACAACAATCCACAAGCTTATCAGTTTGCTGAAAAAAGTGATTATGCATTGATCGCTGGAGTCTGAAATTTTTTATTTCATTTCAGAGACAATCTTTGTTATTGAAACACATATTTTAAATAAGAGCTGTAAATAAACTCCAAATGCAACATTTCACAGTATCTTGAAAGCCAAACCAAAAGGAGGCATAAAAGTAAGTTATACAGAGTTCCACTGATAAATCTTAAAGAACATGGTAGTTTGGTCTGTTGTTTGTAGGGCAAATGGCTCCTCTTCATGGAATTATTAATATAATTTGTGGCTTTGAGTGACTTTGAAAACATATAAACTATTTGAATAAAATAACAAAACAATAACCATAATAACAGTAATATGAAAAACATTTCATATAATAGAATGAATTGCTTATATTTTGAAATCAAAATTCTAAGACGTTCATTCTGGAAATTTGAGGTTATTTTTAATTATGCATTACTATAATTGAACATAGTTGTGTGCTTTGTATCTGATTTCAAAGAACTCAAAATGATAAGTGAGTGGTCTAGAGAAAAGACTTTCCAGTGATAGAGGAATCTCAGTAAAAAGCAAGTCCTTGGGAGGAGCTGAAACACTGTATCTCTCTTAAATATTGCTCTGGAATTTAAGTTCAGATTGGAAGAGAAAAGCAAAAAAAAAAAAAAATCAAGCAATACACTGGGAAAGTGATTTCCATGTTTTCAGAGGTCTTTCTTAGAATTAAGCAACCTCATAATGGTCAGAAAGGAGATGATCACTCACACATAAGCGGAAAGTCACAGCTGTAAGACACACTTTCTTCAAAATGTTTTCCCTCCAGTTCATCTGCTTGAGTGCAACCCCTACATTGAATGTTACCACTTTGTGGTACTGCCTAGTCCTAAGGTATGAAATTCAGATATTTTTCAGTAAATTGATATGAAGTTATAAAATTCATCATTAGAAACTTGTTGTGAATCAGGTGATCAGATTATGTCCTCAGAGGAATAACAGAGCAGAAGATCAAACATACTGATAAGGAAGATGGTGAATAAGGTAGATTACTAAATATAAACCCAGATGAGCAGGTCTGATAGAAGGGATGGCCTAAGCTAAAGAGCACTAAATCTACAGTTGCCTTATCCCTGAATGATGTAGATGGACTGCCTAACAAATGAACCCTCAGTCAATCCAAGAAAATTGATAATCTCCTAGAAATAGCTCCTATTTCCCTTTTAAAAAGAACATTTAAACTGAAATCAATGCTAGTAAAATTCAGTCAGTGATCTCCCAAAGTGACCTTAAGAATATAATCCATGCTTAAAAAACAGTAAACACAGATATTACAGGCAGGAGTTCTAGGAGTTCTATTACAAGTACCCACAGCTGTTTCGTAGTTCCACAAAATGATTACTTACAATCCCATTACAACACGAATTTACAATCAGGCACAAATCACTTTAAAGCAAACAGACCACACACACTTACATTTACACTTTAAAACAAAATTTAAAACTCAAAACCTGTACATTACAGTGAATAATTAAGAAATGCATACATACCTGCATATGTATATAAAAAATTATTTGCAAAATCAGCACTTCTTCAAAGAAAACTTAAAAATGTTCCAGCAATATTAGGCTTTATAATTTGTTTTTATTTCACCATTTTTCCTTCATACACGTAGTATCTTAACTATATCCCTAACACTAACTTTTCCTTAAAAATGACAAAAAACTTTTGCTTGGTTTCTGCATCCCTTTTAGATGTAAATAAGAATGTGTCTTCTCACAAACTTTAACTCAGACCTTTTATAAAATTAGAGTTTTTTGTTAAAATCATGTTTGAAGCCATTCTAATTCTATCGCATGCCTCATTTTTTCCCCTGCTTTATAGTGCCAAAGAGGTTCAGGCAAGCCTTTGTAAGGGGTTCCCAAGGCTACTGGTATGATATACTGTTCTCGAAATGTGAAAAAAATTGCTTTAAACAGTGTATTAGAGATAAGCTGTGTAAGCATCAGAATCATATAACTGAATTGGAAAAAAAAAGCAATGCAGACTTGAAAGTCTACATTAACTGAGTGTCTTCAAGCCCTATCCTGATTTGTGTAGATGCCTCGACAAGCACCACTTAGCTTGGAGTTTGAAATACAACAGGGATGATTTTAAGAGATGTACTTCACTTTGCTTCATCTCTTCAATCCGGCCTAAGCTTAGTGAGTAATTAGTGCAGTTTCCTTTCACGGGCTCGGTAAGTGCAGTGACCTGTCAGATTTCCTCAGCGTCCATTTACAAACATGATGAAAATCCCTCTACTAGGCAGATTCATACATTTCCAAATGTTTTCTTTGGAAACAGTTTAAGGGAGTCAGAACTGTGACTGTCACCTCCTTGCTTCCTTCTGAGCCTAGAGGCCATCTGTGTCATACTGGGCAGACACTAGAAAAACGACCAGTCCTGGAAATATACAATGTTGCATTTTATGCAGTCACAGAGGATTATTGCTTGTCATAAACCTGTTTGGTGTTCTTAGTTTAAACACCAAAAGCCTGATTTCAGAATTTTATTCAATGAATAGATGTAGTAGATGATGTTTCACATTGACATTAACTGAAGTAAACAGCTATTAGAATCTTCAAATCGTGAAATTTAACCATACATGGGAGAGAAAAATGACCCTATACTTATAAAATTTTGGATCATAAAGTATTGGCTATCCCACTTAAATTACGACCAAATATGCCATTGGAATGTAAAGTGTGATTAATTGTGTTACTCCAGCCCCTATGGATACAGATTCATCTGTAGTTTTTATTAAAAAAAAAAAAACCACCTCAGTGCTTCAGTGCTTAAGGTGGGCCTCAAACTTTTTTTTTTCTTTTTCTTTTTCTTTTTCTTTTCTTTCTTTTTTTTTTGGTCTTTTTGAGACAGGGTTTCCCTCTATACCCAGTTGGTCTAGAACTCACTATGTAGACCAGGCTGGCCTTGAACTCACAAAGATCCACCTGCCTCTTCCTCCATCCAGAGTGCTGGGTATTAAAGGTGTGAGTCAGCACATCATGCTAGCTTTTCTTTTTCTTGGTGTGAATTAGGTTCACAGATAAAGCTGATGACGCCAGCTGAGAGCATATGCACAGTGAATGTCACTAAAATTTTGTCATTTATGTCTTAATGACTCAATGACACACAACTACATGGACATGTCAACATCAGTGATAGGAGAATATAATGCTCCAAATAGGCCCTTCACAAACATATGCATTCTTCATATACGTAATACAAAAGAAACTGAAAAATTGGGAATATTTCCTGTGAGTATGTCCCTGCTGCTTCAGTATTGAAAATGGATTCTATTGCAGGTCACATTCAGTTTGTTTTTTATTTAACATAGTTCAGTTGTCATGGTAGAAGTGGTATGGTTATTCACAAATGATTTTGTATGGAGTTGGATGCTGTCATGCAAATCTTGTCTTGAAAGACGTCTTCTGAACTCATTAGTGGTGAAATAATATATGACTGGGTCAAGGCAGGAATTCAGGCTAGCAAGACACAGAGCCACAGAATGAAATATTAAAATCACTCTTCTGGCTAGGCAGCTTTTAATTTCATTGGACTTGACCAGGAAATCCAAAGGAAAACTGAAGTGATAAGGTGCAAAGCAAATTAGAAATACCCCTGCACATGTTAGAATCATCTTCAGGGCTTTCTTTTTCTCTCCGAGATCTTGAGAAATGGGGTATTTGTCTTGTAATGATAAAACTGTCTTCCAGGTACAGTATAGGACAATCAGAAGAGGAGTAACAAACCCAATCAACTCTCCAACAGTCATCATGACAATAGACTGGGACAGATTGACATTCCTGATAGGAAGATCCACAAAACACTTGGTTCTGTTGCCTGGGGTATCGTCATTGGTTCTGAGGAGAGGAAAGAGCAGGCAGGCAAGGCAGATGATCAGCCAGCCAACAATGCTGATGTACAAGTCATATTTCTGTTTGCAGTCGTTGAAACGAAATGGGTACATGAGAAACCAAAATCTTCGCACACTGATGCAGACCAAGAAGTAGATGCTTGCATACATGTTAACATATTTCAGGTAGAAACAGAACATGCAGAGCCCAGGACCAAATGGCCAGTCATGGTTCAAGTAGTAAAAGATCCTTAGTGGCAGGGAAAGAACTTGCAACAGGTCAGCAATAGCTAAATTTATCATAAATATCACAGCACGTTTGGTTTCTTTCATATAACCATAAAATACCCACAAGGCTAATATGTTCCCTATGAGGCCTGGCACAAGAATGACAGTGTATGTCACTGCATAAATAAAATACCGAAAATCTGTATTGTCTCCATCTGTCCTGTTACATGTGTAATTAACAATCATGATTATTTCTAGAGAAACCCCCTTTGCCTAATGATCATTCAAAAATCTAAATCCATAATTAATTATTATTTATTCCACCAGATGAATGCTCAATCAGTCATAGAGACAGAGTGTAAAATTATTTTTTATCACATTTGTTATCTTCTGCATATGATTTTTGGACTTTTTAAAGAACTGGCTGTAGATTTGCCTTAGATTTGTCAATAATAACCACATGAATATCCAGTGTAGAAGCACAGATGAAAAGTTATCATGATTGTCTTCTCTTGTTTATTCTATTGTAATGACTTCTGGGGCATCATGACAGTTGGAATCTCTCCCATTCAGATAAGGACTATGTCATATATTAGCTCCTCAAATTCTCAGAGGATAATCATCTCTTTACAGGTATTTGGCAGTGTATTTCTTTTCTTTTTCTGGCTTGTACAGAAAACAAATTGTTTTACTGTACAGTAGATCTGTCACTTTTCCAGGGTGACTTACTTTGATGGATCATTTTTTTTCTGGTACTTTTTCAGATATGTGCCGAAAGTGAAGAAGTGAAAATAAAGGCAGAGCTGCAAGTAAAAGAAAATAAGCTGATTATATCTGGCATATTCTGTAAATGAGAAAACACTGTGTATAATGGCCATGTCATGTCCAGAAGACAATATTTCACGAAACTCCTCCCCATCCTCTCGATCTTATATTATTTCTGCCCCCTCTTCCATGATATCCCCCTGAACTTCATGAGGGGTGGGTCATGATGCTACAGGACTGAGTACTCACACTTATTCTCAGCACTTTGACCACTTATGATTCTTTGTCTTTATCTCAACCTACTGCACAAAGAAGCTTCTCTGGCCATGACTGAGAAGAGCACAGATCTACTGGATAATATTTACTGGATAAATATTTAGAAGGCAGTCTGACAACAAGATCATTTAACAAAACAAGAGTAGATTTCCCCTAAAGCTATTGACTTGCCCAGCCAATGACTTTTAACAAGGTTTATATTACAGGTATGAATCCCCGCCCCCATCCCTATGGAGCATATCTCAAATCCAATCAGGAAGCATTTGCTTAACCCAATAATCATCATACCACTTACTGTACCAATAGACACATCTTGCTTTGCAGGGCAGTATTGTAATATGCATGGTCTACTTCTAGAGAAGAAAATTGATGTCTTTTCTCCCCCAGAGGCAGCCATAGATAGCACCTTTTGACATTGTGAAACCTATTGCAGCCTGAAGGAAGCTACCCATTCAGTTCAAGATTGTTTTCTTTATGTCCTGCAACTAAAGTTGTCTTCAGAAATAGGGTCTTACCATCTAGCTATGGTGGGTAACTGAGAGCAATGGCAACAACTTGTGTTGTTTTGGTAGCCTCTGCCAACTCCCTGACCACTAACTTCTGACCATGCAGAAGTATCCTAGGCCTATCACTGTTTTTTTTTTCAACTCATGGAACTCACACTATCTGTCATAATCTGCACAAGAACTACACCAAAATCAATTCAATAAAAATACCAGCTTGAATGGAAGAGGGGCTCACAAGGCCTTGCCCCTAATTGAGGATTTATTGCCCATTTATGGATACTGGGGGTAGGAAGAATCATTTTTCTTTGGAAGTATGGCCACTGGAAGGTTGCCCATGCTCCTGTGGATGGACGCACACCCATGCATAAATAGGTAGCACGAATTGGGTTCAGTGGGTTATGTTTTTTAAAAAAAGAGAACATAAATTTCAGAGGGGAGATTATTGAGAGGCCTGAAGGAGTTGAGTTGGGGAAGTGGGGTTGGATATTATCAAACTAAATTTTATACATGTAAAATAACAAAAATAAACCCTATATATTAAAATGTGAATAGAAAATATGAATAGAAAGTTTTGATGTGGATGAGGTTAGTATGCTACAAGTTCTTGAAAACACAAGAAATTACAACTAAAAAGAACTTGAGAAATAATATGGTCCTCTGTTCCCCAAAAGGTATGAGCTCATATCATATGGAAGCTTGTTAGAAATTCAGAAGAGTCTCAGCACCATCAGCTCCTCTTCCAGGACCTGAAGAATCGAAACCTGCATTTTCGGGCTGGAGAGATGGCCCAGCAGTTAAGAACACTGGCTGTTTTTGCAGAAGAACCGGGTTTGAATCCCAACACCTACATGGCAGTTAACAACTGTCCATAACTCCAGTCCCATGGGATCCGACAGCCTCTTCTGTCCTCCGCAGGCATTTCACAACATGGGTGCACTTACCTACATGCAGGCAATACACGAATACACATAAAATAAAAACAATAAATAAAAATATATTTTAAAATCCTGGATTTTAACAACTTTCCCTGGTTGAATTTTGGAATCTCTCCGCAGGCTTCACAACATGGGTGCACTTACCTACATGCAGGCAATACACGAATACACATAAAATAAAAACAATAAATAAAAATATATTTTAAAATCCTGGATTTTAACAACTTTCCCTGGTTGAATTTTGGAATCTCTCATCTAGACTACTGTTTCACAAACTTCACAGATCTTCAGATTCATCTGAGGAAAACTTTAAAAAAAATTTTAATACAAGGTTTCTAGGTGTTTCTTCCAGAGATTCTGGTTCACTATGTTTTATATAAGGCCAGAAATTTGTATTTTTTAAAAGCTTCCCATATGCTTCCAATATAGTCAGCACAGCATTTGTCTTTGAAGCGTCATTTGGGGGCCACTGATTTGATCCAAATCCTTCCCAGATGTCTGAAAATAAATGGGCATCCAGCCTCTCTTTAAATACTTCCATTTACATGGGCCATTTAGTCACCTGTTAATTATCCAAGACAACAGACCATAGCTTCAGAACAGAGACTCAAATCCCCAAAAGCTGACTCAGCTGGGTCCATGACTCTTGTTCTGAGGTAAACAAATTTTAGCTTAGGGACTTGGATAGTTGCCTCAAGGCTGCTAAAATCTAGAAGGATTTAATTGACTTTAAAGATATGTGGGAAGAACAAAATTGAATGAGAATTATGAAATATCCTGCTTTAGATTATCAAATCCATGTGGCTTGAAGTGTGCATGATCCAGCCCTTGAAGAGATTATTATTGTTATTTTGCCTGGTAAATAAATCGCCTGGTAAGTAAAATATCACATTTTGCTCAAAGATGTGCTGTTTACTTTATTTAAAAGGCTTGATAAGTAACATTAATTATTCATTCAGTTTGAAGAGGTTAAATATTCAAGATTTCTTAAGAAAGGAAGATGTAGAAACCTCACATTACAACAGTTAAGCACAAATGTAAAGGATAACATGGATATTAAAAAACATGAATAATAAAATTGTCCAGTTCTGAAACTAAACTGTATCTTTGAAATATTTTCATATATAGTGATTTTGATTAGGTGACAGAAAAGAGGTGTGTGAAAAGGTGCTAACATCACTGGTAACAAGAAAAATGCAAATCATAGATCACTGGTGAAATATCACTTTCTACCAGAATGCCTTTTATAAAAAAGACAAAAGAAAGCGAGTGCTGGTGAGGATACGAAGAAAAAGAATCCTGACATATTTTTGTGAACATAAAGCGATGCAGTCACAATGTAAGACAGCATTACGCTTCCTCAATAAAGCTATAAATTAGAGCTATCACATGATCTAGCAGTCTCATTGTGTGTATGTAGCCAAAAGAAATGAAATTGGTGTTGAAGAAACAACTTTATTTCCACATTCATTTCAATATTTTTCCCAATAGACAAGATAGGGCACAAGCTACATAGCAATCAACAAAGGAATATATAAAGTAATTTCTGTTTATGCAAACAATTTAATACTATTCAGCCTCTGAAAATAGTGGAATTCTGTCATTTTCAACAAAACTGCTCAACCTGGAGGACACTATGTTAAGCAAAATATGAAGTTAGGTGTAGATGACGTAGTACATAATCTCACACTCATATGGAACCTATGCCTGTCCCATAGAACCAGGATCTAGAACAGTGATTGCCAGGGGCTCAGGGTGCAGTAAGGAATGCAGATATATAGGTCAAAAGGTATATGACTTCATATATGAAATGAATATACATTGGAAAACTGGTATAAAGCATAGCGATTACAAGTTTAAAATACTGTATCTTATGTGAAATTTGATAAGGGAAAATATTTCAAATTTCCTCACCATTCATCCCCAACCCCAAACTACACACACACACACACACACACACACACACACACACACACGCACAGTCAAAGTTGTCTTTATGAAAACCTTTCCTTGATTTTTCTATTTAACATTATGTTTTTCTTCTAGGACTCCCCAATTCGATATTCTCTCTCTCTCTCTCCCTCCCCTCTCCCCCCTCATGTATGTGTGTTTGTGTGCAATATATATGTATATATAATTCTGTGTATATTATATGTTAACTATCAACAGCATTGCATGCACTTTTTAATTTTATTTACACTTTTCCCTCCTATAATGTAAAGTCCATGATTAAAATATTCTTGTGTATTTCATTTACATATCACATACAAAAACCAAGGACTTTATTTTCTTAATATATTGATTATTTTTATTTTATGTGTATGAGTGTATTGCCTGCATGTATGAGAGTGCATCCGTGTCGTGCAATGCCACGGAGGTCAGAAGAGAGCATCAGATTCCCCTGGAACTGGAGTTAAGAATGGTTCATAGCCACCATGAGGGTGCTGGGAATCGAACCCAGGTCCTCTACAAGAGCAGTCAGTACTCTTAACTGCTGAGCCATCTCTCCAGCCCCAAGAACCAAGGACTTTAAAAGACAGTGCACATGTTAGAAATTTGCTGAATGAAGCAATTTTAATGTGTAGTATTTTTCATATAATTGACCATAAAATTCATCATCTTCCAAACAAAAGCCACTGTCTCTCCAATTCAAATGATATTTTACTATAGATTTCCTTAGTGTTATGGATTTCACTCAAATTTTCCCAGGTATCCTGACTCCAAGTTTTGGAGGCATTAATTTTTTTCTTACTTACTATCCACAATTGAACGTTATCCTAAGAAGGAGACACCATACCCTTGCAGTAATAATATATGCTTAAAAATCAGAAATATCTGGTTTAAGTAAGACTTGTTCCTTTTGGTTGATAACTATAAATCCTAGAGGACATCATTAAACCACCTTGGCCCTTAATTTTTTCCTTTAAAAAGAAAGGATAATCAGGGTGCTATGTAGAATCAGCATGAGAATTTTCTCTGCAAATATACGTAACATAGTTAACAAATTGCAAGGTATGCAGTAAATGCTCAAGAAACATTAGTTATTATAACTGATTTCCTGAAAGGGAATTTTTTGTTAATCATCCAATTTTTAAATTTGCATTTACTATCCTAGTTTAGGCCTTTAGTATTTCATTTTCTTCTACACTTCTCTACTCATTCTGCATAAGGTTTTCATTAGTTTTTTTTTTTTTTTTTCTAAAATGGGCTCTTTAAAGCCATGTGTTTCCTGGAAATCATGGGATACATAGTATGGTACTCAGTAGTTTCCCTAATATGTATGTATCTTTTTAAAAAATGATATTTTTATTCTTTGAGAAT